CAAGCTAGCAAATTCTCGGGACTTAATTATAAAACGCACCCAAATGCTATTTACACTAGCAGACTTTTGAATTTTTCAAATCTATCACAACCAACTAATGCCCCTAATTATGAAAAAGTACTTGAAATGTTATCGGATGACAATGCAGGTGAATATACTGTAGATAGTATAACGTTCGTTACATTTCTAAATTTTTATTAAACAAATTCATGCTTTTAAAACTTATCACAGACTCAGGTTTGGTTAATTTGCGGATTTTTTAGGTATTTTCGAAATGAATTTTTTTAATCGCAATCTAACTTGTTAATTAAAATAACTGCAATTTTTTATTTTCATTAAATATTTTAGAAATTTTTGAGGCACATGAAAATGTTTAAATATAACTCCGAAACAAAGATACAAACCTATTTTCACAGTAGTCAAAAATGCCTACTCGTAGCATTTATAATATCGCAGAGTTAATATTTAAACAAAAGAAATTTTTTTATTTAAAAACTTTGCCTAATAAGTTAGTTTTAACTAAAGGTATTTCTAAATTTCACTAATATACAAAATAGATCAGAAAACTTGCATTTTGGTAAAATAGTTATTGAAGATGTAAAATATCAAGCTAAATTACGGAAGCTATAATTTATTCTAAAATTAGCCAAGGGAGCACGTATTATGCTTAAAGTAAATTTATGATCTCTAGTGGACTCGTAAATGGAACAATGGGTGGAGTGGTTGGCATTTTTTTAAGCAAGACAAAACTTTATTACCTACTGCAATTTTAGTCTTCTTTGATGAATATAGTGGCCCCTCTATTACAAAAGTCTTACATGAGCAATCACGTGCACAAATCACAGGGTCTAACATTACCAAAAGTTATCATAAATATTATAAATATTGGCCAAAAAGAATTTTCTGCTGTATTATCTTATGTGATATTAAATTTTTCGCGTAGCCTGTAAAAACGCGAAGCCAAACATGTTATCAATATTATTAAATAGTAATTTGACTATTTTAAAACATATTATTATACTTTAGAAAAGTAAAATTATTAAAGTAATATGTTTAAATATTAATAATATCTTAGATATTTTTTGCTTTATAATTAATTATATATATTGTATTTTAAATTTTTTTAAAAAAATTATAAGTTTTTTATAATATACAAAATAATTTCTAAAAAATTTTAAATTTTGATTTAATATAACTTTTGATAAATTTTTTTAATTAAAAAAATTCAATAAGCAACTTAAAATTTAATAAAAATTATTTTTTAATTAATTTTGTTTTTATTTTATAAATTGATGAATTAAAATTATTATAAATAATTTATTTATTTATTTATTGTAATTTAATTAAATCATATATTTTAAAATTTTTTATTTTAATATAACAATAAATTTGTTTTTTATATTTTTATTAATATATATTTCAATTTCAATTTTGTATTTTTAATAATATATATTTAAATATATATTTTATTTTATCAATGTTATTTATTAAATTGTAAATAAAAATATAGATTGAAAATTTGTTCAAAAAATTTTAAACAAACTGTATGTGTAGTATTTTATTATATCATGAAAATTTATTTGTTTATACATGTATAAAAAATGAAACTTTATTTTTTTTTGATAAGATAATTTAAGAAATTTTTTTTTATGAATTTGATTGTTTGTAAGAGTTTAAAAATTTATTATTATAATTATAATAATAATAATAATTATTATTTATATAATTTGCATATATCGTCATATATCGTCTAAAAGAAATACAGCATTTTAATAAAGTATATGTTCATTTTATTTATAAAATAAAATGTGTATAAAATTTTATTGTTTTTAAAAATATTAATTGTTCTAAAAAATCATTATATCGTAAACTTTTCAGAATGACTTTTGGTTACCAGCAAGGTTAGCGCAGTGAGTTGTTAGATGCCATGGTGAAAGGGTATCAGTCGTGAAAAATTACATGCACCATTATTTCGACTGTTTTACAAAGTTAGATTACCATGCACATGCGTCGAACTTTAAAGTAGCTATTGGATTTATGAATTTAGTTAGCGCGGTTAGAAATTTATACCTATGTAAAGATGATTTTTAATAGGCTTGTGCAACGCTTAGGAAAGATTGCCTGTGTAAAGCGCAATTTAAAGATACAAGAGGCGATTGGATTAAGTGAAGATGCTCCATATACAGTATGTTCCGTTAGAAAGCTTGATGCATATTCAGAATTCTTAACTAAGCCCGCCTTAACCTTGAATTTAGTGTCAAACGTCACAAAACCGCTGTCACTATTAGGAAAGTTTTTAAAAAGAATATTTAAGTGAAATTGAACATGACGGAGGGCGTTGAACTTGTATGTGACCACGAACTTTATTGACTTAGAGTCCGAGGTTAATACTTTCTTAGCTACAGAATAAAGATCATGTCGCTCCTAGGCAAAGCTGGAGCAGGCGCGTTTTCGGGCAGATTATTCTTCAAAAACAAGTTGAATAATAAATAAATTTATTTCATGGAAAACCCCAGTTCAAAAATATTTAGATAAATCGTATTCCTCATTCAGATCAGTTACAAATCATAACAGGCGAGAAAATGAGAATTCGTGGAAAAATGGTTTGAGCCCCTAGACCGTTTAAGTGGCGTCCAATTGGATCAAGAAGAAAAAAATACTTGGGCGACAGTGATTTTACACATCATTGTATGTATGTAGTATTTCAATGCTAACTATAAATAGTATCACCCCTTAATCTCGACTAGCAAGATGACAGTATCGTGATATGTCATAATGAATAAACTACTGTTTTGAACTTATCCTATTTGTATATGATTATTCTCCACATTTCATTTACCGCCAATATCATCTCCTTCCGCTAATATTTCTTTCAATCCTTTCAAATTTTATTGCAACATGGGTACCTCAACTAATTCGTGTTGTCGAGATACGGTCAATTATTAGACCATGTTGAAATTATAAATTGTAAATACAGTATAATCAATTCAACTTTATTAAGACCATATAAAACGATAAAAGCGATAAAACCTAAATTCATTCGAAAATAGTGGATTTGTCATCGCCGGCAGAACATCTAAAAGTGTAATGGAATAAATTAAAAAGATGACTAAACAAAATCAATTATTTACAGTATTTATTTATTTATTTATTTTATTTTATATTTTTCCTGCCTATAGCAAAAATTAACAAATAAACTTTATGCGAATACTAGAGGTATATTGTTATAATTTACATACACAATGTACGCAGTGTATTATTAATAACACTTACAAATCAATGATTCACCGCCCTACTTTTTTCAAAAATTAAAAAGCTATTTGTAAGATGAATGAAAAACTGCACAATACACCAATTGTTTTTAGTAAATTGGACTGTGCGTAATATGACGATACGTCAACCTTTTTTGTTTTAACGGGGCGTCTACCAATTTACCATTTTTAAACATATCTCCGCATTTTTTTTTTTTTTCAAAGAAAACCTTCATAGATGAAGGAATTCCTTTTTGTCCATAAATTTTTTTGCTTGGCAAAATACGGAAGAACAAAATAGTAAACCACGGGCCATGTTACATTCGATTATTAATAAATTAATATCACCCTCATGGTTGATTGTTGACGAACAGACCAACAGTCAACGATTTAGTAAGGTGTTTGTTTTCAATACTGTACATTTTTAATCGATTATCTACACTCTTATCAAGCAAAACGTGATCATGAATGAGAAAGCATTCTCAAACCCATAAGGCCATTACTCAGCTTCCCAGCATGTTATCTGAAAATAATTTTTTGATTGTGTACCACATAATGAAAACGGCCAAGAAAAAAAATTAAAGAATTAGAATATTGGAAATTTTCTTCCAATTGCATACTTAATTGACAATCCACACCATCCCTTACCAATAACATACCAGATCTTTTATTTAGAATTTAATGTACGTGCGTATGTGCATGTGCATGCATATAAAATATGGATGGTCGCTACAAATACTTGGTTTGTAATGAACGTGCGGTGAGTTACTAGGAATGTAACCTGATCGGGCGTTTTGATCGAACTTTCTCACAATTCTTGCGCGGTATTTTATTGGGACCAAATTCCTTTTATTGCAGATTTTTTTTATATAAGACTGCGAAATTTGTGTCACAACCAGCATTTAATGCAAACATAGATCGCACAAGGTTAGGTACGTATTACAAATGATTATCTAATTTGGGTGTAATCTTACATTAGCATTATATAATAAAAAGTTAGATGCTCGCTCAATGCAAATTGATTAAGTAATATATTAGATAGATTAATACATAGCAGCGCTCACCCTAGTCCTCGCTGACTATTAAATACGGACGGTCTGGCTTTTCTCCTGGAAGGAAAATCTAATCAACATCAACATTCTTCTGAAAGATTTCAAATTTATTAACTATCAATCTTCTCCTGAAAGGAAAACTTAATCATCATTCATCCGAAGATAGCAAATTATTAAATATCGAACACCATGATTATGCCAATAACGCGGATAGAAGCAAAGAACTTCTTGAACGAAAACGAATATAATCTATTTGATGATGAAGAGATCTGTCGACTGAACATATACAACGCTATCATACGATACATTTTCAAAAGTGAGTTTTCGGCACCGGTAACGGAAATTCTGGAAAATGGCAGAACCTACGTACTCGATGTTGGGTAAGTTTCTTCAATCGAATGATGTAACATTAAAAAATATTTCTAGCGTGTTGATGCTAACAATCACATTCACTCGCTACAGTTGTGGCAGCGGCTCTTGGCTTTTCGACATGGCAATCAAATATCCAAATTCGTCATTTATTGGAATCGACTATTCACCCAATGTTCCCGAAAACTCAAAATTATTAAATAACATCGCATTCTTGCGAGGAGACTTGAATAATGGATTGCCATTCCCCGACAATTCTTTTGATCTGGTTCATATGGCAGACATGAGATCCTCCATCGAGCGTGATCAATGGCCATTAGTCATCAGGGAGTTGACGAGAGTTCTGAAACCTGGTGGATGGCTAGAGGTTGGTATATCTTTACTATTTTCGGAAGACCCCCTCGATCTTTATCTTTACATTGATGATCCTTACGAAGTACCGTATATTGCCTTTTTCAGCTATCCGAAATTCGACAGGATTTTTTTAACTCGGGACCCCTTCTAAAAAAGGTTTCCGAATCATGTAAGCACATGATTTATTATTTTTTTTTTTCTTGTTCAAATCAAAAGTTCGTCGACTCACCCCCAAATTTACAAATTAATTAGTTGCATTATGCATTGAAAGCACCGGTTGCGACCCTAATATTTATAATAAAATACCCGAATTTTTAAAGGCCACCAAATCATATGAAAAAGTGATGTGCGCCGAAAGATCGATTCCAAGTGGAACTTGGGCCGACGGTTTAGGAATCCTTGTAAGTAACATGAAACTGCTTCACCTGGATGCAAAATAACAATATTCGTGTATGTTTTTACAACGATTTGTCTAAATTTCACGTATTTCTTTAACAAAAAAAATAGTCCAAACGAAACATACTTTCGGCCTGCAGAAAATTCAAACCTCGTCTATCACCTTACCTTAACATAACAGATCAAGAATATAACAAATTACTGGAAAAAATGAATGAAGAGCTTGACAAATATCACTCCTATTACAAATGTTACAGAATTTATTCCCAGAAAATATAGCATTTAATCGTAAAATATTCGTGTCTTGATGACATCTCAAAAAAGAAACCATAAAAAAGATTCCCCTTTAGTAATTCTATTTATATTTTTTTAATGAGCATTGTATATAATTTAAACAAAAGTTTTTAGGATATTATGGAAGAAAAGGTTCTTTCTATTCATGAGTAAATTAACTTTCGTTGGGTGCACGCGACAATTTTTTTTTTCTTTTTTTTTTTTTTCAATTTTTTTTTGTAATTGCTAGTCATAATAATAATAATAAAAAAGCAGTAAGACAAAAAGTGCTGGTATCACGACCGATGATTCATACATGCTAAAATGTTAAGGCTATTTTAATACCCTCTACAATCAAGAACCACACAAAAAGCGCAGTTCCCCTATACCATCCATTAACCATAACCCCAACTCCCTCCCCAATTACTTCAACTATTTCATCCACCTTATTATATAGTAGCAGGTTAGGACTCCCGGTACCTTGCAACCCAATAATCACATCTTTCGTAGCCAATCCCTGAATCAGTGTTGAAATGTCTTTTGGTCGTAAGTTTTCGGCATACTTTGATTCGCTAAGAAGCAAGGCGACTACGCCGGCAACATATGGGCACGCGAATGATGTGCCAGACCTGATGGAGGTACCGGATGACTGATAAGGATGAGAGGAGAGAATTTTTTGGCCGGGTGCAAATAGGTTGACGCATTCGCCAAAATTAGAAAATTCGGAGAGCACGTCAGTCGGGTCAATGGACCCTACAGTTATGGCGCTACGCGCACTTGCCGGTGACACACTACACGCATCAATACCTTTTCCTAATTCATCCCCATTTCCCGCAGCTGCCTTTAAAAATTCCAGAAACATGAGCTCTTGCGTGACGAATGAAAATGCGTAGAACAAGATAATATTTACTGTGATGGAAATTCCTTGGCTAACCAACTCGTTAACAGCAAGATTCACTGCCCTGTTATATGTGGTTCCTATGGAAAGGCTAGCGAAAAAGACTAAATAAATGAATCTCGCGTTTCCCTTGTACATAACCATATGTGACTACGTAAAACCTTACTTTGCTACCGATTTTGCCTTGCGACCTTTAGACTTATGACTTTGAATTACATATTCAAACCCATAAAGGACGCTTCTAATAGAACCCATCCCTTCGACATCAAGTGACTATTTTTTTTTTTAAAAAAAAATTCAAAGTCAAATGAAAAAGATAACATCTATGTATACATATTCGATTCTCATACCTTCACCGCAATAAGGTTGACTTTTTTTGCAACACCGTAGGTTTTACCGCCAATTATGCCTTAATTCAACAGCAACAAAAGTTCGGTATATTACGCTTTCAACAATAAATAAAGGCATTTTGACCGCGAAAAATAAATACCAGCCACAAAAGTACCGTGACCGTTTTCATCGTCATCAACTTTACACGACGAAATGGTTGTTTTACCCCATTTGGCACGACCCTCAAATTCAGGATGACTTAAGTTGATTCCTCTATTGGTTATAATGTATGAACAAATATATATGGTTAACTTTGATATGTCAATTTAAGCGTAGGAAAGAATTATAAAGAGACTCACGTGTCAATAATGTACGCATCCACCTGATTTCCGGCGGAATCGGGATAGGAATATGTTCCAGACAATGGGAGTGCACGTTGGTCGATACGGTCTAGACCCTTAATAGAATCACCAAAGGATAAATTGTCAAATCACTGCTAAACTATAAAAGGTCAGAGGAAGAAAGAGACTTACCCAACTCTGAACATTTTTCTGCAACATGGCTCCTCCGTAAACAGAATCCTCTGTCCGGAAACGCTTCTTCTCCGGTTTATCATTTTCCTCTTCTGACTCCTTCCCGAGTACGACATTATCTACCGTTCTCACAACCTCATCTCTAACCACAATCCAAGGTTTCCCGTCCTCGCTCTTTTCCTTATCCTCGACTTCACTAGCGCTTACTAATTCAATCTGATCTTTAAATCTTTCCGTAAAATCTTGCCCAAAATCCCCGGGTAACATGTGTAAATTTTCACTAAATGAAATTAACCGACCAACATTTTTGTAATTGGAAGTGAGATTTTGAATGAGTTCTGCAGATGGTGTGGACCGAAAGATTATTATGTGTTGAGAATCTTCATGGGGATTAGTGATCGCAGGGATAGTTTGTGATGAAAACAAAAAACAAATACTGAAAATGACAAAGACTGTGCAATAACACGATACAAAACATCGACGAGTCATTATTCTTTCTTTAACGGTTTGTTCATTAAGGAAAGGGATTCTTGTGTGTAATGGGGCATGATGTATTCGACGAAACACCGTGATGAGTTATTTCCCTGTGCTCTTTGATAATAAAACATACTTTTTTCCAACAATCCGTTATGACATATGAGTATCGTATACGTAATTAAATTACGATATTTCTCAAGAAGTACGTAATGTCTGCGAATTTGGGTTCAGAGAAGACATGCGCTCATCGGAATCTCATATTCCTTTGCAATGGTCTCGTTGATTCTCGGAAAATGGTAACCTTCAATTACCGAGGAAATTATCGATTCTGAATTTTTGGATACATGCTTTGTCAAGTTGGAAAATGTTTTTCTTTCAATCTTATATCTTTCAAATAATTTAATACTATCTACAGTATAATAAACATTATTTTTTTTTATTTTTTTTTATTATTACAAATATTCATAATTTCAATTTTTTTAAAAAAGTACTATTACAGATGATGGACAAAATATTGTAAACACTTAAAAAAATTTTTTAAAAAAAAATTGTACTTAATAATTTTTTTTTTATAATAAAATTTTAAATATATAATTAAAACAATATATTTATTTAATATCAATATTTTTTTGGTCCTCCTTCAGCCGCAATACAAGCCGCAATTCATCGTGGCATACTTGCAATCAATCACTAACACATCAGTGGAGATATGTTATTCCAATATTTTTGAACAATCTGATCCAAATCAGAAAGACTTGTCGGTTTAGCTTTAAAAACCTGTTGTTTAATAATATGCCATAGGTTCTCAATTGGGTTAAGGTCTGGACTTTGAGATGGCCAGTCTATAATCCGAATTTTATTAGAGTTAAGAAATGCTGTGATAATCTTTGTGATGTGTGGGTTGCATTGTTATACTGAAAAATGGGACGGCTACTGTGAAACCAGTTAGGGATAGTATCAATTTCTAGTAAGAGATATTCTTTAAGTGTGTCAACATAGAATATCACTGTAAAAGAAAAAAAAAAATTTTTTTCGATTTCATTATTTACTTTTCTGCTTTCATTTTGTTTTCATTTTCATTTTCATTTCCTGTTCCTTTTTTTTCCCGCCTTTTTTTTTTTCTCCTTTTCATCATACTTACCATCCTATATCCTACATGTATACTATTTTCTGTTCTTTCTTTCTCTCCCATTCATTCCATTATCCTGTTTGTCTTATTCGTCCCTCCACCCTTTCTTTCCTATTTCTTGTTCACCTTGTCCCCACCTCCTTTTATCTATTTTTGTCTTATTAGCAGGGAAATTGCTTAGATAAGACCTGGGAACGCAATATTCATGTCATGCACCTAATTGAAACAATGAAAATACCTTAGTAATTACTCAAATGATGTAATCAGAAGTTTATATAATTTATATAGTTTAATAGTTTATGAGTCATATAAATAAGAGTGATAAAAGCACAAAAGAAAAAAAAGGAAATTCAAACAATAATAACAATAACACTAACTTTAACTTAATTTAGTAATAATAAATTATCCCTTTAATAGAAGCACACAATGGTCATATAAGTGTTAATTAAAGATTACTAAAAGTGGTGGTGTAATAGATACACCTAAAAAGGAAGTTGATAATTAATCCCCTTCTAGAATAATGTCACCACAAGGGAATCATTCTGGTAGTCACTAAAAGGGATAGTGACTCAAACAATCGACGAAGAGTGACAAAGGAAAAAAGAAGGTTAATTATAGGTTCAAAATCAACTAAGTCAAATCCACGCCTCAAGTAGAGAAAAAAAGAATAACCTATCTGATATTATGCAAGTTTGATCTGCCCCAAGCGACAGACTTGCCATTTTAACATCAACAGTATATATCATTTACTAATTTATATAAAGGAACAAGAAGCCTAACCCCAAACCAGGAAAAACACCTTCAATGCATTTGATTTGGACTGTATTTGACAGTAGTAATCAAATAATCAAGATCTTATTCTTTTCCTGGCTCACATCAGACTTAGCAGTTTCATGCTTGCTGAAATTGGATAAACGTGGATTCATCACTCTATAATATTCTTTTAAAATCTTTTGCAGTTTATTTTTTGTGATCACGGCATCAGACAAGACGTTTTGTGAGATTATCGCTTGAGATGAGTGGTTTTTTACAAGCAATGCAACTTTTTAGCTGCTCCTTATGAAAAGCATGACGAATAGTCTTTTCTGATACTTTTTTTTTTGTTTGATTATAATAAAAAGAATTCAATTTAGCAATACATAAATGCTGATTTTTGATAGCAAGCTTTTTAAGAATGTTATGGTCAACGATCGATGATCATCCGGTTCTTTTCACTCATGATACAGCTGATCCAGTCTTTAGAAACTTGTTAATCATTAAACCTATTATAGATTTTTTGCAACCAACTTGATCTGCAATAGTATAGTAGAAATCTTTATTTTTATAGTCATAAATTATGATTTTTTTTTGTGCATCTGTTAGATTTTTTTTAGTATCCATATAAAAATAAAAAAGCAGTTATCACAAAAAAACCAGGAAAAAGAAAAACATCAATAAAATTTTTTTACAATAA